CCGGACCTGCAATATCCATGCAAGCGGGCAGAAGACGTTTACAAATATCTTAAAATACCCCTGCACGTGCACCATAAATTGTATACACATAGGTACTATAAATAAAAAAATACAATCTCAACTCGTATGGGCAACGACGAGGGTGTCATTGGTACACACGTGACGCCTAGGGATGATGTGCGGGTTGATAAGTGAATTCAAGTTCGAACCTAATCCTTCTATACGGATTAATAGAAGTCGACAGGGTTCGAACTCTCAAACAAATACATAGTTGTGGCGACCGGTGTATTTGTTTTAATACATTTATATTAGGCCTTCAAGGTCTATAATCAAGAGAATTCACTAACAAAGGCATGAAGTCTACGAAACCCAATCCTCTTAAGCATGAAAATAGAAGTAGACAGGGTTCGAACCATCGAATAAATATGCAATCATGAATTTGACCGGAATATTTATTTTATATATTTATATTAGACCTTCAAGGCCTTTAGTAAAGAAAATTCACAAACAAAAGCATGAAGCCTACGAAACCAGATTCCATATCGACAAGTTGATAAGGTCGACAAGATTTAGTTAATGAATGACCCCACATCCCGATGATGGCCGTGTTGAATGAAAATCTCAACCAAAGGGGTTAATTTCAGACATTTTTAAATGCCACCTCAAATATCCACAAAGTCCAAAATTCTCAGAAAATTCCAAAATCCCAAATCCAGATATTTAAAATTGAAATAAATTCGTCAACACTTAAAGCAAAACCCATACACCCTCCGCAACAGTTTGCCGAGGTTGATAAATTAAAGTCTACTTTAGCTCACAAAGAGTTAATGCCTAGTCGAAAATATCACTAGGATCCATTCTCAAATAATCTCCTGCCAATAAGGACGTGGTACGTGTCCTCTAACCGGCGGTTCTACCGCTAAATGGCACTGCAGGATAAAAGGTTATGACCCGGGGCCCTCTGAACCGAGTGGTTGCCGTCAAATGGCACCATGAAATACCGGTTATGGCCAGAGACAATACGCTCCTTATTGACATCAAGTCCTTGAGATATGAATCAATAAGATATAATCGATAGGGCACAAAGCCCCCTGTTAGCTAAGTTGGATTAAAATTTGTCCCCTTAGACAAATATTTCCCTCAGGTCTACAAGGTCCCCTTGGACGAAGAAACCCATGGCTGCCGACAAGGATCCTTCTGTTAGGTTGGGTCGACTACCTCCTTTGACTAAGTAGACCAGGGACCACGATGGCCCAGGACGACTGAACCATGGGATCTTGATCGGGTCTATCATCTATTACCCCACCATCTGCTTTAAGTGCAAGATGGTGAAATTCCTATTTTAAATATCAAACTTTCCAAACCTTTCCAAATACTCAAATTCAAACCCAACCCTTCAAATCTCAAAAGCTCATTGCTGCTACTATATGCCAAATACCACGTATATCATACGTATCTGATTGATTACTAGCCTTAATCGAAAGTTCACTCTCGTGATCGAGAGGGGTAATTAACTATAGAGGCTTGCGCCTATAGGAAACCAGAACTCATATCATAAAGTCCTCGCAAAATGAGGGCAAAATATCTAGGTAGTGTCTTATCTACAAACCCATCTGCCTTTCAAAATTTACCCCGGAACTTATTCCGTTAAAACTCCCTCGCCAAAGAAAAAGCAAGCAAATCAGCACGATGGGCAGTCCGGGGCCGAATATTCGAAGCCTACATGTGCGATAGAAAATTCCCCCTCAAATTTAAGAAAAAATGCTATAAGATTGTGGTGAGACCTGCAATGCTTTATGATGTCGAATGCTGGCCATTAAAAGAGAAGCATAACAAAATTAAGTGTTGCAGAGAAGAGGATGCTTAGGTGGATGAGTGGCTTTACCCATAGAGATAGGATACGAATTAAGCATATATGTGAAAAGGTTGGAGTAGCTCAAGCGGAAGATAAGATTAGAGAGAGTCGCCTTAAATGGTTTGGTCACATTAAATGGAGGCCTTTTGATGACCCGGTTAGAAAAGTTAAGGTATTAGATTTTACTTATGTTAAGAAAGGTAAATGTAGACCTAAAAAGACTTGGTTAGAAAATATTAGAAATGATCTTTTTTATTAGATTTAAATGAGAATTTGACTTTTAACAGGACACAATGGTGAAAAAGGATTCATGTAGCCAACCCCATGTAGTGGGGAAAAGGCTTGATGTCGTTGTTGTTGTTGTTGGTAGATATTTAATTTGCTAAATTTAGATAAAACAAATATAAGAGAATGATGTGTAGATTTGGGCTACACATCAATGATTCTTTTAACTTTCATGTATCCAAAGAGAGGAACCCATTCACCTAATTTGAGTTAAGAGAATGAAACAAAGCTAGGAATTTGTCTATTTTGCTTGACATAGAATAATTTGTTGATTTTGGTTCACCGACTAAATGATTTGGTATGAACTACTTGTTAAATTTGATTCAACAAATAGGTGATTTGGTATAGGTTTGGTTCACTCAGCATGAGTTGAATGAGTAAGAGTTTCATACAACTTTTGGGTAGGGCTGCAAGCGAACCAAATGTTCGATGAGCTATTCATTGTCTGGTTCGATTAAATCTCGTTTGTGATCGTTTAACTAACTAAACAAACAAATTTGAACAACATTTTTAATACTTGATCCTTAAATAACCAAGCTTGAACACTAATGTGTTCGGTTCATTTATGTTCACGAACAATATCATTTGAAGCTCGTGAACATGCTCGACAATAAGCTCGATTCGTGTTCAATTCAGAACTCATGAATAAGCTCGACAAAAACTTGATTAATATTTAATTATAAAATTGATACATATATAATATAAATATTTTAATTTATTATAACACAATTATATAATTATTTTAATTAATAAATTTTAAAGTAATTAAATATTATAATATATGTTGCAGCTTTAATTTCATTACCATTGCTAATTTATTATATTACATCGTTAGATCTTGCTTATTTGACATCTCAAGAATACTCGTTAGATTTGTTTATGAACATGCTTGTTTGATAGTTTAAAAAAATTCACTAAATATGTTCACGAACAGAACTCGTTAAGGCTTGTTTATTTAAGGTTCGATAAACACTAAACAAATCAAACACGAACCAAACATGAACACCATTAATTTAAACGAACCAAACATGAACACCAACAATAAAGCTCGAATCAAACATGAACCGAACTTGAACAAGCTAATAATAAACAAACACAAACATGAACACTCACATAATCGGCTCGGCTCGGTTCATTTACAACCCTACTTTTGGGTTGTAGAAAGGGTAATTTCTCTACAATTTTGGTTTGTAGAGAATATATGAGAAAATGCAACTTGGAGGTTACAAAGTGAAAGAATTTATTTGCGCATTTGATGTTCAAAGAAGGGGATATTCATCCACCTAACTTGGGTTAGTGGAATGAGATGAATTTCTACAATTTCTGAGTTGTAGAAGGAGAAAAGAAGATGTAATTTTGGGTTGCAAACTTATGAATGCTCTTTGAACATTTGATGTTCAAAGAGAACATATACACTTTCCCAATTTTGGTTTAGGAGAGTGGAAGAATGTTTGAATGTTCTCTTATAATTTTGGCTTATAGAAGACGATGAAAGGAAATACAACTTAGAGGTTGCAACTCATGAAAATCCTTTGAACGTTTGGTGTTCAAAGAGGGGGAGCAGAAAAATGCAACATATGAGTTACAAATTCAAGGGTCTCTTTGAATAACTTGGTATTCAAAGAAAATCGATGATCCACCCAATTCGTGTTGGGAAAATACAAGGAGATGACATATGGTTTTGTGCTTACAAGTTATCATGAATTTCTTTGAACCTTTAGGTGTTTAGAGAGGAGTTTACTCCTCCAACCTAGGGTGAAGGAAAGGAAGTGTAACTTTAAGGGTTGCAAATTCATGAACATCCTTTTGGACATTATGATGTTCAAAGGGAAATGTTCACTTGCATAATATGTAGCTAAGCAAATGAAAAGGAAGAGCTCATGGTTTGATCTTATGTTCAATTATTTTACAACATGATGTATTAAGGATTTTGAGAAAATTCATAATACACGACCTGAGGAGGATTAGATGTTCTCCTACAATTTTGAGTTGTAGGAGAAGGGGAAAAATGCAACTTTGAGGTTGCAAATTCATGAAGTTTCTTTGAGCATTTGGTATTCAAAGAAATGATATTCATTCATTCAATTTGAGTTGAGTGAATGAGAAGATGTTCTTCGCCTTTGGTTTGTAGAAGGTAGGAGAAGGGGACATGACTTACAAGTTGTGAATTAAAGATACTCTTTGGACAATTGGTGTTTAAAGAGGAGATGTCATCCACTTAATTTAGGCTAAGTGAATGGAGGAAAGTATGATTTGAGTCCTATATTTGGAAGGATTATTCATTGATTTTTGTGTTCAAATGATTTATGCTACAATGTATTTGAAACTTTTGGATATCTCAAAACAATATGCATGAGAAGGATATTTGTTGTTTTTTTGTGTTCCAACAAATAATGTGGAAGAACTTAGAATTTGGTTATGAGCATTAACAATATATGTATAGGACATTTAGAGACTTAAGGGAACTCCAAATCTTATACATGAGGGAAATATTTGTTAGTTTAGTGTTCTAACAAACAGGGTAGAAAAACTTGAAATTTTGTCACAACCCGAACCGTTATGGCCCAATAACACACAGGTCATACCATATCCGATTATGGCAAGACTAACCCCGAGATCTGATTGGAGAAGTACTGAAACAAAACTTCTACTTTATATACTACAAAGAGCCACTATTAAATGCAATATAAAACGAAAGACAATTGAATCTCAACATGATTTTTCTATATATCATTCAAAACATATATAATATGAAATTTATTTACAACTGTGCTTGGCAACAAAGAGCACAACAAAAAATTAAACGCCAAGCCTACAAAAATCAAAACTAATAAAATATAACTACATCATAAATCATAACCTGCTATCCCAACTACTCAGCTCGCTCCTTACCCTTCCTCGAGCCTGAAAACAAAAGTAAAAGCAGTAATGAGTTAACACGGCTCAGTAGGCTATCGTAGCCTAAAATAAAAATCAATAATCAAAACCAAAAGAACTGAGATCACTATACTGAATCATATACGGAAATTAAATACAATTAAATATACTGGAATATATTGAATCATAAGCAAACATTTCATAACAGAATCCTACCTCGGTAGCCCATTAGCTCCGACATAACAACACTTAGGTAATAACATCTCACCAGCATAATAGAATCCCACCTCGGTCGCCCACTAACACCAGCGTAACATCACAACACTTTACAACATACTTTTCAATGCATTTCATTAATTAAAGGATAATTGGAATGAATTAAAAAATTGTCAAAAATATCCCAATAGTAGACAATAGAATTACTACTGAATAAAAAAAATTATAATTTTCAAACATAACCAAATTATCACAAATTACATAAAATATCATTCTGAAGCTTTAATTGAATTTAAAACTATTTTTAGATGTCAAAATAAATTTTTGAGTAGGCAAAAATCATTGCTTTTTCAAAAGCATCTCGCGAAAAATTTTTAGAGTATACTCAAAATGTTCGTAATAGAGAAGCATAATACTAAGTTAAGTGTTGCAGAGATGAGGATGCTTAGGTGGATGAGTGGCTTGACCTGTAGAGATAGGATAAGAAATGAGCATATACGTGAAAAGGTTGGAGTAGCTCCAGTGGAAGATAAGATTAGAGAGAGTCGCCTTAGATGGTTTGGTCACATTAAACGGAGGCCTTCTGATGAAATCAAGAATTATGTACTTTTTATTTTATTTGAACAATCGTATATTGTGTTTTCTATTTTATTTTCTTTTCTTTTTTAGCTATCCAATGATGGGAAAGCATCCAATGATCATGGTAGGTAGTGCATATGGCTTGGTAGACCTTTGGTTTGCTGGCTCGATTGGTCCCTGGCTGATGGTGGTTCACGGGTTGGCTGTTTTGGAGCATTTGGTTTTGAGCTGATTCTCTAAGTTGCTTGAGCTGAAGTTTAGTAGCTCTTTAATTCTCAAAAAGGTACATAATTATGAAGTTTACTTTTGGAGTGGCCTTGTCCCTTCCCCTTCCCCTTTTCTTCTTTATCTCTTGAAAAGCTGCCTTGGTATAATGAAATGGCTTTAACCTTTGGCATTCTCTGATGTTGGAAACCGTAGCTTTTTTTTCCTTTTAAAAAGCTGCCTTGGTATATTGAATTAGGCTCTAACCTTTGGCATTCTCTGACGCTGGAAACCGTGGAATTAATGATGCCGTTTGGCATCCTCTTTGCTGCTCTTTGCTGGAATCCGTGGGCTTTTAATTGCTGCCTTGGAAACCTGTAGCTTATCTTGGAAATGGTTTGTCCGTTTGGCATCCTCTTTGCTGCTCTTTGCTAGAATCTCCTGGGCTGATTTCCAAAGGGACATTTGGGAATCCTATGATCTAAAATGCTTGGGAGCTTGTAAACAATTATGATGTGGCTTTTGGCATTCCTCTTCTTTGCCTATAAATTGGAGATGTTGTTATGAATAATGGCAGTTGAGTTGATATTTGTGAGCATATTTGCTATTAACCTGCGGGCTCTTTCCAAACTTCGTTTCTCATCCCCTCCGGAAATCCTGCGGGCTCTTTCCACCCTTTCTTCTCGAGCTTCTAACATCTTTCGTCTCTCCGCAAGTGCCACTCCATCTGTATCCTTCTTCTCAAGTGAAGCAACTTTAGGGTGTCGTATCAGAGTTGATTTGAAGCGTCTATTGAAGAATTGGACCAATCTTGCAGTGGTGGACCATCGGTTTGCTAGTTCTATGCACTTTACTTATTTAACCTACAAATTCGATGCATGTGAGGAACCCGCTCTGACGGTTGTCTGAGGATAGCGTCTTTTTAAGTTTCTTTATTTCTTTTAAAATCTCCTAGCATCTTTTGTTAAGTTTTGGGTCAGTTGCGTTTATTTAATAAAGTTTGTTTTAAGTT